AATATGCAAAAACTCACCAACTCCATCAAAAGACCAAACCTGAGAATCATGGGTATTGAAGAAGGAGCAGAGGTGGAAGCAAAAGGAATTTGTAATGTATTCAACAAAATAATAACAGAAAATTTCCCAAATCTATAGAAAACTATGCCCATTCAGGTACAGGAAGCCTTCAGGACACCAAACAGATGACCAAAATAGAACTACCCCATGACATATTATCATTAAAACAATAAGCACAGAGAATAGAGAAAGAATATTGAAGGCTGCAAGAGAGAAAAACAAATAACATACAAAGGTAAACCCATCAAAATCACAGCAGACTTCTCAACAGAAACATTAAAAGCAAGAAGAGCTTGGGGAGAGAATTCCAGGCACTGAATGAAAATAACTTCAACCCCAGGATACTCTACCCAGCAAAACTATCATTCAAAATAGATGGAGCAATAAAAGTCTTCCATGATAAGCAGAAACTAAAACAATACGTGACCACAAAGCCACCACTACAAAAGATTCTTCAAGGGATTCTGCACACAGAAAGTGAAACCCAAAATAACCATGAAAGGACAGGCTGCACAAAACTACAGGAAAATAAAAAGCTAGAAAGTAGAGAGTAACCTCAACTTAGGTACACACAATCAAATCTTCAAACAACTAAGACAACTAAATAACAGGAATCACCACATACCTACCAGTACTAACACTTAATGTTAACGGACTTAATTCACCCATCAAAAGGCACCACTTGATGAAATGGATTAAAAAGGAAGATCCAACAATTTGTTGGTTACAGGAGACCCATCTCACCGACAGAAATAAGCATAAGCTTAGGATGAAAGGCTGGAAGAAGATTTACCAAGCCAATGGCCCCCCAAAACAGGCAGGAGTAGCAATATTTATCTCTGACAATGTAGACTTCAAACCTACATTGATTAAACAAGATAAAGAAGGATGTTCCATACTAATAAAAGGGGAAATAAACCAAAAGGAAATAACAATTATTAACCTAGATGCACCCAATGCCAATGCACCCAATTTCATCAAACATACCCTGAAAGACCTAAAAGCATATATTAACTCCAACACAGTGGTTGTGGGAGACTTCAACACCCCACTATCATCAATAGATAGGTCATCCAAACAAAAAAACCAATAAAGAAATTAAAGAACTAAAATATACAATAGATAGAATGGATCTACTTGATGTCTACAGAACATTTCATCCAACTTCTACACAATATACATTCTTCACAGCAGCCCATGGAACCTTCTCCAAAATAGATCATATCCTAGGGCACAAATCAAGCCTCAGCAAATATAAGAAAACAGAAATTATACCATGAATTCTATCTGATCACAATGCAATAAAATTAGAACTCAACAACAAAAGTAAAGACAAAAAACATGCAAACAGCTGGAAACTGAATAACTCATTACTTAATTAATGGGTCATTGATGAATAAAACAGGAAATTAAAAAGTTCCTGGAAGTCAATGAAAATGAAAACACAACCTACTGAAATTTATGGGATACAGCAAAGGCAGTCCTGAGAGGAAAGTTTATAGCCATGAGTGCATATATTAAAAAGACTGAAAGATCCCAAATCAATGACCTAATGATACATCTCAAACTCCTAGAAAAACAAGAACAAGCAAATCCCAAAACAAACAGAAGGATTGAAATAATAAATATAAGAGCTGAAATCAATGAAATAGAAACCAAAAAAACCACACAAAGAATTAATGAAACAAAAAGTTGGTTCTTTGAAAAAATAAATAAGATTGACAGACCCCTGGCAAACCTGACTAAAATGAGGAGAGAATAAACCCAAATTAGTAGAATCAGGAATGCAAAAGGGGAGATAAAAACAAACACCATGGAAGTCCAGGAAATCATCAGAGACTACTTCGAGAACCTATATTCAAATAATTTGAAAATCTTAAAGAAATGGACAGATTTCTAGATACATATGATCATCCAAAACTGAACCAAGAGGAAATTAATCACCTGAATAGATCTATAACACAAAATTAAATTGAAGCAGCAATCAAGAGTCTCCTCAAAAAGAAAAGTCCAGGGCCTGATAGATTCTCTGCTGAATTCAGACATTTAAAGAAGAACTGATACCAACCCTCTTTAAACTGTTCCATGAAATAGAAAGGGAAGGAAAACTGCCTAACACATTTTATGAAGCCAGTATTACACGTAAACCAGGCAAAGATACCTCCAAAAAGGAGAACTATAGGCCAATCTCCTTAATGAATACTGATGCAAAAATCCTCAACAAAATATTGGCAAACCAAATTCAACAACACATCAAAAAGTTCATTCACCATGACCAAGTAGGCTTCATCCCAGGAATGCAGGGGTGGTTCAACCTACGAAAATCAATAAACATAATAAATGACATTAACAGAAGCAAAGACAAAAACCACTTGATCATCTCAATAGATGCAGAAAAAGCCTTCTACAAGATCCAACACCACTTCATGATAAAGCTCTAAGAAAACTAGGAATAGAAGGAAAGTACCTATGACAAACCTACAACCAGCATTATACTTAATGGAGAAAAACTGAAACCATTCCCTCTAAAATCAGGAACTAGACAAGGATGCCCACTATCTCCACTCCTATTCAACATAGTACTGGAATTCCTAGCCAGAGCAATTAGGCAAGAAGAAGGAATGAAAGGAATACAAATAGGTAAAGAAACTGTCAAAATATCCCTATTTGCAGACGATATGACCCTATACCTTAAAGACCCAAAAAAAATCTCTACCCAAAAACTCCTAGACACCATTAACAGCTACAGTAAGGTAGCTTTTCTATACACCAATAACGAACAAACTGAGAAAGAATATATGGAAACAATACCATTTATAATAGCCTCAAAAAAAATCAAATACCTAGGAGTAAACTTAACAAAGGATGTGAATGACCTCTACAAAGAGAACTACAAACCCCTGAAGAAGAGATCAAGGAAGACTACAGAAGGTGGAGATCTCCCATGCTCATGGATTGGTAGAATCAACATAGTAAAAATGGCTATACTACCAAAAGCAATCTACATGTTTAATGCAATTCCCATCAAAATCCCAATGACATTCATCACAGAGATTGAAAAATGTACCCTAAAATTCATTTGGAAGTACAAAAGATGGCGAATAACCAAGGCAATACTCAGCAAAAAGAGCAATGCTGGAGGTATCATGATACCTGACTTCAAACTATCTTATAAATCAATAGCAATAAAAATAGCATGGTACCGGCACAAAAACAGACATTAAGACCAGTGGAACAGAATAGAGCACCCAGATATGAATCCACACGACTATGCCCACCTTATTTTTGACAAAGGTGCTAAAAATATACGAAGGAGAAAAGACAGCCTCTTCCACAAATGTTGTTGGGAAAAGTTATCTGTCTGCAATAAACTGAAACTAGATCCATGTTTATCACTCTGTACTAGTATCAACTCAAAATGGATCAAGGACCTTAATATCAGACCTGAAACTCTGAAGTTAGTATAGGAAAGAGCAGGGAATACACTGGAATACAAGAGGTATAGGCAAGGACTTCTTCAATAGAACTCTAGCACTCAGCAACTAAGAGAAAGTATAGACAAATGGGACTTCATAAAACTAAAAAGCTTCTGCACAGCAAAAGAAATGGTCTCTAAACTGAAGAGACCACCCACAGAGTGGGAGAAAGTATTTGCCAGCTATACATCAAAGGACTGATAATCAGAATATACAGGAAACTTAAGAAACTAAATGCTCCCAAAATCAATGAACCGATAAAGAAATGGGCAACTGAACTGAACAGAACTTTCTCAAAAGAAGAAATTCAAATGGCCAAAAACCACATGAAAGAATGTTCACCATCTCTAGCTATAAAGGAAATGCAAATCAAAACCACACTAAATTCCACCTCACCCCTGTTAGAATAGCCATCATCAAAAACACCACTAACAACAGGTGTTGGCGAGGATGTGGGGAAAAAGGAACCCTTTTACACTGCTGGTGGGAATGCAAACTAGTGCAACCACTCGGGAAAAAAATTTGGAGGCTTCTTAAAAATCTAAACATAGATCTGCCATATGATCCAGCAATCCCACTCCTGGGGATATACCCAAACAGAATGCAACACAGGTTACTCCAGAGGCACCTGCACACCCATGTTTATTGCTGCACTATTCACAATAGCCAAGTTATGGAAACAGCCAAGATGCTCCACTACTGATGAATGGATTCAGAAAATGTGGTATTTATACACAATGGAATCTTACTAGCCATGAAGAAGAATGAAATCTTATCATTCACAAGTAAATGGATGGAACTGGAGAACATCATTCTGAGCAAGGTTAGCCTGGCTCAGAAGACCAAAAATCATATGTTCTCCCTCATATGTGGTCTTTAGATCTAGGGCAAATACAGCAATGTGGTTAGACTTGGGTCACATGATAAGGGGAGAGCACACACAGGAGGTATGGGGATAGGTAAGAAACCCAAAACATGATAGTATTTGATGTCCCCACTGCAGAGGAACTAATCCAGAAACCTTAAAGTGACAGAGGTCAATATGAGAAGGGGATCAGGAACTAGTGCAAAGGTCAGGCAGAGAGGAATCAATTTGGGTTGTAACACATTTGTACATGGAAGCAATGCTAGGACTCTCTCTGTATAGCTATCCTTATCTCAACTAGCAAAATTGCTTTGTCTTTCTTATTATTGCTTATACTTTCCCTTCAACAAAATTAGAGATAAGGACAGAACAGATTCTGCCTGGAAGGGAGGGGGGTGGGGGGGAGTGGGAGGGGACAGGGTAGGGGGGAGAAATGGCCCAAACAATGTATGCACATATGAATAAACGAATAAAAAAATGACACAAACCACACTGTAACTAAAAAAGAAAAACCCTTTCTGAGTGGCATACTTTAGACAAGATGAAATAGTTATATCAAATATCAAAATGATACAGGATGAAGTATAAAGGTCTCTTACTATTAGGCATACTAGAAAATCAGCTCCACTGATGTCAAATTTTATTTCTTCAAATTCTCTGTAGTGTTCTTGGGCTCTCTAAAAACACCAAAAGAGATAGCTACATGAAATTTTATTGGCTTTATGATATATATTTAAATAATATGAAATTTTATTAAACATTGACTGTTTTCTACATTGACCTCAGTTCCTCTGTGCACACTGGTGACAAGTTCCCTGCAGAGAAAGAGGGGATACTTCTACTCAATTCTTACTGTTCCTCAGTGAGCAGGTAGACTCTTTAAAAAAAAAGAAATCTCTTTTTTTAAACCCAAGCATTTGCTGGAAGTCAACTGAAAGCATAAAAAAAGGGGTGCTGGCATTATAAAAATTTTAGAGAGTTTAAATGTTTGCCTTAACTGTCCTACAAAAGACTATTTACAGGGTTCTATCTCACCAAAAAGATGACTATTTTCCCAATCTTATTAAATAATCCTTTCAATGTTATTCTTCCTTTTATCAATTGATTGATCCAGAAAGTAACTCATTCCTTCTAAATTAGTTGTGACAGGTGTAGATTAATGCATTTTCACCTTGCACATCTACTTGTATTTTAGAAGAAAACCCTTTAAGCAAAGGGTAAGTATACAATCAGGAATTCTAGCCACTGCTCAGCCAATGGAAAAATATTTTGGTAGAAAGTCTTCCCAGCTCCCCAAAAACATAATTAAGAAAGTGTGGCAGAGTGGATCAAGTGGTAGAGCACCTGCCTAGCAAGCTAGAGTTCTTGAGTTCAACCCCCAATAATAATTTAAAAAGAAAAAAAAGACAAAAGAACATGATTAAAGAAACCTTCTCCTTTGTTTAAAGCCATTTCACATAAGATGATGCAGATTCCCAAAAATTGTGCTATGGATTGAACTATCCTGACCTCATCATACACATCTCTCCACTTGAAGCACACTCAGTTTCTTTAAGGCTTTGTGGTCTTCTCTGCTTCAATGTCTTTGCTTCCTTCTGCAGAATATGCTGTATCACTCTCCCTCTAATTAATTCTTACTCATCCTTTAGGAATGTATTTAAACACCACTTCCCCAGAAGAATTCTCTTACTCCATGGTGTATCAGCTATGCTTCATAAATTCTCTCTTGGTACCTTGCCCTTCTCCTTTATAACCCTTAAGGTCCATTGTGCTGACTGGATTGAGGGTGATCTATCTTTGTCTCTACTAAACTGTATGGAAGGAATATCTGTGCTATCTTGCTTATCAGATGACCCCAACTCCTAGCACAGAGGCTAATACTGCATTAGATATTGCTGTATCAAATACAACAGTATTTGATGTACGCTTTTAATAGTTACATGAGACAATTCTCACAGTGGTTAATGAATACTCATTGAACTAGAGACCTTATTGCAATCTGGAATTAGACTTGAACAGCATTTAACAATGCCTATGTTTTGCAAAGTGCATAGGGCAAAGTTCTTTTTTTTAAAAAAACAAACCAGCTATTAAGGTTCAATTTTCATGTCATAAAATTTACCCGGTTTAAGTTTATTATTTCAGGATGTTTTCTAATTTGCTATGCAAGTATCACCACAGTTCAACTTTAATTTTAATCATTCCTAAGAAATCTCTCATGCCCATTTGCTGTCACTCTCCATCCCCATGAATCTACTTTCTACATATTCAATATTAAAGACACAGCTGATAACATTTCTTACCTCTAGCAAATAGATTAGGAACGCAACCAAGACAGATGGAGGAAATAATACCATGATGATAATTATTGAAATTCTGTTGAAGTAAATGATGAAAACCATGTTGAATGAGATCATCAAGATCTACAAGACAAGTCCAAACACTGCATCAGACACCCTCGGCCACAGATATTTGAGAAAACAGCTGAGATGTAGGTATTATTGTGTATATCGTAATTTCCCCATATGCCAATATGCCTACCTGCCTTTTCAGAGCAATAAGGGAGGGCTTTATTTAGTAAGACTATGCATATTTAGCTTCCCAATAGAAAATTATTTTATTAACATGTATTAATTATACATAATATGTTCACTGTGACTTACCTTCCATCCTTTTCTTTATTTCCTTCCCTTCCCTCCCCTCCCCTCTGCTACCCTCCATTCTCCTTCCTGTTCCTTTTCGTGCTGGGGAATGAAAACAGAACCTGATGAATGCTAAGCACACACTCTCTACCACTGAGCTTTGCCTCCAGCAGTGTGATAGTTCCACACATGCTTACAGCACGTACAAATCAAATCCGGGTAATTAGCATTTTTCCTATACTTGTCATTTATGTTTAGAGCCTTTGAGTTTCTCTCTTAGAAAGCTTCATAAAAATATAATAATTTTTTGTGAACTATAGTCATCCTACTGTGATTTTTTTTTCTACCTAACTGTGTTTTGGTGTACATTCATCCAACCTCTCTATATCAGCACTCCCTCTCCCACTTTCCGAACTTCTAGTAATCACTACTGCACAGTCACACTGCCTTTTTTTAGTTTCCATATATGAGAAAGAACAGGTAGTATTTCTCTTCTTGTGTCTGGCTTATTTCACTCAACATCATGTCCTCCAGTTTCATCGATTTTGCCCATTTATTGATTGGATTATTTGTCCTTTGTGTATTTAAATTTTTGAGTTTTTTTATATATTCTGGATATTAATCCCCTATTAGATTACTATCTGGTAAAGATTTTTTCCCCTTCAGTATGCTATCTGTTTATTCTAGTAATCATTTCCTTTGCTGTGCAGGTTTTTAATTAGATGCAATTTCACTTATCAATTTTTTTTTTCACTTGTCAATTCTTGAGCTATTGGAGTCTTATTCAGAAAGTCAGTACCTGGGCCTATATCTTGGGAAGCATTTTTCCAGTTTTCCTCCAGTAGTTTCAAAGTTTTAAATCTAACACTGCATTCTTTGATCCAATTTTAATTGATTTTTGTACAGAATGACAGATAGGGATTTAGTGGTTTCTCTAGGACTTCATCATAAAGGGATGTTCAATTTTATCAATCTGTTGAAATGATCGTGTGATTTTTTTTCCTGGATTCTACTTATGTGATAGCGATATTTTTTCCTCCTTTCTTATCCATTAGACTAGGAAAGGATTGTGAATTCTGAGGGCATCAAACGGTAGTCTAGGAATCTGTGTGCTAATCCTTCACTATGGAGCACAACAGGCTTGGTCCTTCCTTATCAGATGAAGGTCTAAGATATTCATGAAGCACCATGTCCTTGAGGATACAGGATCCTATTGGACTCTAGAAATGAATTAACTATTGACCTTGGCTGCACTCAATAATGGAAAGACATTGCCCACACTATCCAAATGTATCCTAGGTCACACAGGACAAACGCACTAACTGTTAGTTTATGAGGTTTTCTGACACATGATCCCATGAGGAATGGGAAATTACCTCAGTCAGAAGAATAGCATGGTTTAAGTGCATACTAATTGCATGATAAAAGACAAACACACACAAACATTCCCCAATGCATATTAATAATGAAGTTATGAGTTATTTGCATCGGGCAAAATACAGTTACTACAAACTGCTTGACGTCTTTGTAATTTTGAAACTTGTTTAGCCTAGTAAAATCAGTGTGTATTGATGGGCACAAGTTTTGATTCAATATTATCAACAATGCTACTATCATACTTTTGACATAAGGAATGACATTAGACCTGGGTTGTCAAATTTATTCTGAGTCTGTCACTAAGTCTTGTGTGACCTTGATGAAGTTACTTAATTATTTTCTTCTATAAAGTTAGGTGAATTATAGTAGATGATCTTTGATCTTTTGATCTTTATTTTTTCAAGTCTGATATTACACCATTCTGTAACTAGGTATATATATATATATATATATATAGAGAGAGAGAGAGAGAGAGAGAGAGAGAGAGAGAGATTGAGAGAGAGAGAGAGAGAGAGAATATCTGTGTGTGTGTATGTGTGTGCATATGTGAAATAGATACTTTGGGGTGGGATTCATTATGTCTAAATACAAAATTCATAATTCATATATGTTTTAGATACACTTTATAAATAAATGGATTTAAATGGTCCACTGGGAATGGTGAGTAAATTGTGCTATATACCTGCATTTGACTGCTACTCATCATATGAGGTCAGGTATGAAATTTTCCAATTGATGTTATCAAGTAGTTATTAAGTCAGCTCTCAAAAATTTTTGACTTTTGCATTTTAGATTTTTGGATTCAATCTGTATTATTAATTTTTCCCACTGTTCAAGGCAAAGGTGACTATATTTAACATTTCATTGAAAGTTTATAATAACTATCTCTCTATTGTCTATAGATGTGTGTACTTACCATATAGAAAGCAAATGACCAGAGGCTACTGTTTTTTCTCCTCTTGCAAAAAATAAATGATATCACATATGTGAAGAAGATAAGAGAAATTGCAAAACCAAGTGAAGTAACAATCTAAAAATAATACAAATAGTAGCATAGTCAAAAAATTAAATACTACCTGAGGGAAATTATAAATTACAAATTTTTGATTGTACATGTACTTTGCATGTTTTATGGTTTACAATGACATCATCACAATTACATAAAACAGTAACATTAAATTTATTTTTAGTTACTTTATAAAATTTGTCCTTTGTAATGTGTTACTTACTGTAGCAAGCACAATTCGACTTGTAAGGTCAATGTCCATTATCTTTGTTATGTAGAAGATTAAATACGTTGAAAGGAGAATTAAACTGTAGAGGTTAATATCCACTATTGCTTGCCCACACCAGTAAGCAGAAGGATAGAGGCCTGAAATCCATAGCTGGATATCAGCTTTCTTCTGATGAAAAAACACAGGATGTACATTGATGCAATTAAAATGAAAATCCCAAAGTAAAACACATTGAAAGAATTTTTAAGATAACTGTAATCCAATCTTCTGAAGCTATTTTTTATTATTTACTTATTTTTATTCATATGTGCATACAATGTTTGGGTCATTTCTCCCCCCTCCCCCCCCCTTACCCCCTCCCTGCCCCCTCCCTCTCCCCCTCACCCCCTCACTACCTGGCACAAACTATTTTGCCCTTATCTCTAATTTTGTTCTGAAGCTATTAAAAATAATTATACATGTACTCTTTAGGATCCTGAGGTCTATAATTCCAGTTCCATAAAGTTGGTCATTTTTTTGAAAAGAGTATATTATTTAATTTGGTAGATAGGATTCACAATACCACTTTAATTCATGAATAATGAATAAAAAAGTAGACCTCATAATATCAAAGCAGTAAGTTCCTTCAAAAGAAGTGCCACTGTATGACCTGAAGGACATAGTAAATTCATTTGTCTATACATCTCTTTGGAGAGTTACTGGCTCAGGATGGTGAAAGCAGACTTATCTAAATCTGATTTTCATTTTCATCTGGATAATGAGCATAAATAAACACAAATATAAAATTTCCATCTCCAAAGCACAAGGAAAATCCAAGTCTTAAATTTGGTCTTCAATTTGAACATTAATGATTTCCTTCTTGTAGTTAGGAAATAATGCAATTAAAAGATGTATATTATTCTCCTTTGCAAATTTAGACTAATTTGAGTCACTTAAAAAAATTCATTTTATTTCCCTGTAACTTTGAAGTAAACAGTTGCTTTTTATTTATTTATTTTGAGACAGGGTCTCACTATATAGCTCCCACTGTCCTTGAATTCACAATGTAGCCCAGGTAGGCCTAGAAGTCTCGGAACTCCTGCCTCTGAGTGCTGTGATCACAGGTATAATCCTGCACAATCCCCATGTGTCAGCATGCCTGGTATATTTTGCATTTTTTAAAAAGCAAGTTTTCTGACTTTCTAGAAATAATGCTTAACTACATCATCTAAATGAAATATATATTTCAGTGTGAAAACATTTTGAACACAGCATTAAAAATACAATTATTGAAAGTCTTGTCTTACTTTATAATCACTGGTAGAAGTCATGGCAATGTAAGGAGAAATGCTGCACACAATAAAAAATAAGAAAAAGGAACCTTCTGGCAGCCCGATCCATATCATTACATGGTTCTGCAATATAAAAAGCACTTTAAGCTAGTGAACATTTTTAATGAAATATATGCTAACAATCATAGATAATACACTTTTTGAAATGCTGAAAAATCAAAGTATAGGTCTAGTTCAGCATCATGAATGTTGGAGAAATGATTTCTTATCACTTAATTTAGGCTTCAACTAAAAGGAAAAAGAGATGTCAAAAATAATTCAGAACCTGCTTTTTATTATATATCCTAAAGACCCGACAGCAGGGTTTAGTTTTTGGGTTTTTTTGGGGGGTGTGTTTGGTGGGGGCCGGGGGGAACCTGGGTTTGAATCACACAACTTCCCTCTTGTGTGAATATAATTAACACTAACAAATTAAACACTTAAAATGGTCAAGGTAGTCAATTTTATGTTATATGTTTAATCATAATATAAGACGATAATAATTCAAGAGTTGTGACCTTTGGTTAACTGATAATTCAAGTTTGTGTAGCATGTCTTCCTTGAAGACCTTGGCAACTGCGAGGTCTTCTGTAGCACAAAGCTATAAAGGATATTTTGATGCCACTAATCCCATCTTCAAGAGATAAAATTCAAATCTCTACTCCCAAATGCATGCCTGCCTACAGCTGGGTCCAAGCAATGTACAGGACTATCTCACAGATATAATAATAAGAGAGCAAAGTAAACCTGTCTCACAACAATTATGCAATTCCCAAACTTTATTTAAAGTTTTAGAATCTATGTCTATAAGTTCCAATTTTCTCCAGGTGGGAAAATGCTTAGATTTCTATGATGATGTGTACTACTGGAAGTTGGCCATCCCCAAGAGATAAATCACAGAGACTGGATCCATTTTGATCCTAATCAAAAAATGAAATGAAGACACTAAAGTGATGAGGAAGTAACAACTGTGCCTTCCTGCTGGTTCTATTCTTTTTCTTGTGGTGCTGGGGATCAAACTCAAGACCTTGTGTGTGCTAGGCAAGCACTCTATCTCTGATCTACATCCCCAGCCCTTGGTTTCACTTTCTGAAGAGTTCTGTTCAGATACCACTACCTTGAACCATCTTATGTTGATCCCAGAGTCAGTCATACTTCAATTCACAGATGCATATATCCAGCACTGACCTTTCAAGTATATTCCATCCCCATTTTCTCCATTGTCCTCAGAAAATCTGCACTTGCGTGTACTCCATGCACTACTGATTCAATGAAGCCAAAACTGAATTTGGCACCTTTGTCATAAAATGGGCTTCCCTTTAGACTTGTCCATTTGTAATCCTGCTTATTGCTCTTACAAATTTCTGATGTTGAAATAAGTTTTGAGAGGTCCTTCTTGGTATCAACCAGAAAACCATAATCCCCTTAAATACTTCAAATAGAAAGAAATTAATCGTGAAGTGGTTGCATGGATGACGATCATCCAACAAGGATGATGAAAAGTGAAGTCATTGTCATTCCCAGGCTGAAGGGACAAAAGAAGGAGGTGATGTAACTGGAACCCAGTGTGGCAGGTGTCTCTGTTCTTGTATCTCCCACCAGTGCTTCTTCTTGCCTAAACCGTCTATAGCCAGACCCAGAACATGCAGCCTCTGCATATTAGACACCCTTGCAACACAGAAGAACTCTGGGTAAGTGAAATAATGAATCAGAGAGAATACAGTTAGGACTGGCAAATTCTCCTTCATATTAGTCAATTTACTATCCATTTAGTCAGTGGAGATTTCACTGACAAATTATATTTAGTTTCTAAGAGTCTAAAGCAGGATCACAGATGCTCCAGATTTCCAATTCAGTGTTTCTTCTGTCTCTGTTTCTCTTTCTCTAATGCTTTTCTGTAATCAAGTATGTATCTACAACTTTTCAGAAAATTCCCTATGAAACGATAACCAACTATTTAAAAGTATGAAACCATGATTTCTGATAACTTAGCAAGAACAAAACATATTTTGTTAGATACAACTTGCTTAAAATATTAGGACACAATAATAATCTTCAGAATCAACTATCAATTATCAGTATTTAAAAGCTAAAGAGGACAAGTATAAGTTACTTATCAATTCCTGTTTTGCTTTTTCTTGGCATGATGGGGATTGAACTCAGGTCCTCACCCTTGATGGGAAGGTTCTCACCCTTGCCGGGAAGGTCCTCACCCTTGCTGGGAAGGTCCTCTACCACTTGATCTATGACTCCAGCCCTTTTTGGCTTTAGTTATTTTTTGGATATGGTCTCCTGCTTTTCCTAGGGCCAGCCCTGGACAGTGACTCTCCTCCCTATGTCTCTCATGTAGTTCAGATCACAGGAGAGCACCACCACTACCCAGCTTCTTTGTTGAGATGGTGTCTTGCTAACATTTTGCCTGGGCCATCCTTGAACCACAGTCTCCCAGTTTCTGCCTCCTGGGTAGTTGAGATACAGGTATAAGTTAACATGCTGGGCATCAAATTCTTAATTGCTCAGAATCAATATATCCTCTACTTACCAAAAAAAACTGACTTCTCTCAATTCGAATATGTTGTGTATAATTAAGCATATAAAGTAGCCCATTGCTGATGATATTCATCAGGACAGGAAAACAGTGTAGCCTCTTAGTGTTGCATACAACTGAAAATCTATAATCCTTAAAACAAACAAAAACAAATAAATAAGGTTAGCTCTAAATTCTTGAAAAACAGAGGAAAAGTTTCTATATAAAACAGTACCACACTCCACCTGAATTTTCTGAGCTTTAGTTTCCCCATCTATGAAAGAGGACACTAAAAAGGTTGTTACACGGTTTAAATGAGATTATATGTGTTAGGCTTTTGGACAGTGGATAGTACAGAATCAGCATCCCCTTCATTATAAGTTTTTACTAGTATTTATAATTTAATATCATTTTGCCCCTGTTCTGCTCTTGAGAAAATTTGTCAGTGGAGTTTAAAAGTTGCCCCAACAAAGAGACACAGTTAATGGTGTGCATACAAAGAAGGGTGATCATCTAGACAGCAGATAAACATGAAATTGGTAAGTTATTCATGGGTACACTTGCAATGAAGTCTTTTCAAGTTCCTAAGGCAATGTTTATACTTCATGTTTATAAAATGTTCATGTGTTCATCAAGAAGTTCAATGTTGCTCAAATATTGCCAGCAGTTCATATAGCAAGTATGTAAGATTTTAAAACGCAGTTGCCAAACTAAGTAGTTTCCTGATATTTGTACAATGTGATTACATTTTCATAATGTGTTTAGATTAGGTAGGACTGAGTTCAGTGTTATATCTTCAAAAGCTTCTGTTTTTATTTCCTTGTAGAAAGAAATAAAGATATAGTTTCCTTTGACTTGGTCCTTACTTTTACTGGAATGCGGTTGTGTTGTCTGTTCCTTGATGAATTTCTATAGCTTGTATGCTTTACCCAAATTAAAACGTGTTCAATTAGTATATCTAGAATAATTTTCTCCCAGAATATTCTTGCAGATTTTGTAGTATTTAAGGTATTTTCTCAATATTGAAACATCATTCAGGTAGCTAACTACAAATAGGATTCCTTAATTTCATAATTACATTGGTTGATAATTATATGCTGTAATATTTTAACTGTCTGAACAATACAAATAAATTTCATTCCTTTCAAATATAAGAAAATTAGCTAATTCAAAACAAGGACAGAATGTTTTTCACAGAAAATGTAAACTTCACCGTTCTTTTTAATATGGAGTCAAAATGTTTTTCAGATTTAAATGGCTTATACCAGATTGGTTGACTTTCTCCAACTTTTCAGTTAAAATGTTGCACTTTTTACCATGTGTAGGTGTGTGTGTGTGTTTTCATAAAAACAAAACTCAAGAGGCAAACATACCTTTTGTTTACCAGAAACTATGATAGCTCCATTATATGAGAGACCTTCAGTGCCATTTCTGTTTGCAAAGTCATCAACTTCCAAAAGTATATTTTGATGCTTCAATGATTGTATAAAATCTTCAATATTTGATTCTAATACAAAGTCAATAACAGAAAGCCATATAAAAGCAAGAAAATACATGTTACATGTTTTCTAATGAGCCCTATACAATATTATTTAAAGTTGATATCTATAGCCTATCTCATGAAGGCATGTTTCTATATGGACATTGGCTCATGAAACAGGAATTACTCAGTCAATTTTCTATTCAGCAAATCTTATGGTATGATGCATTACCTTTATAATCATGTGTAATGTAAGTTAGCATGTGATAGTTAAAACAAGGTAATTCTACCTTAGACTTTTATTTAAAAATACAACTGAACTGGTAATTCATGGAGAGATAATATTATATGAGAAGTATTTCACTTTGTCCAGTCTGGTGATGTATGCCTCCTTTCCCTTTATTCTTTGAAATAATGGATAATCAAATATTTAAGTAATATGGGTTATACATAAATATATTTCCTTCATTTTATGTTTGTACATCTGTTACTTACATGCATACTACATAAATACATTTCTCTTAGGAAATAGAAAATGAAAAGAGTGTCAAAAATTTTTGGCATCAGATCAAAAAATTTTTATATATCCCTAAAGTAGAAGGCAGAAAGATTATTTGAGAGAGAAATAAAAGCTGAGAAAACCCATAGCCTACTGCACACAGGAGCAAAAACTGCAAAGATAAAACAATTTTCAGAATATCACAACTAAGAGTAGATGAATGTAAGGAGGCAAAGTGGACTCTCTGAAGCACAGTCAGGGTCATTATCCAGTTGCTATACCTGGAACAAGGTGACCAACAAAGCCCCTCTCCATGTTCTACCTAGAGCATCCATAGCAGCTGCTGTCTCTAGGGGAAGAGTCCAATTTTTAATTTGTATGAGAGACATTACCTGACAAGACCAGCAGGGCAAGACCTGCAGTAGTTCCAACAACAATCAGGAAAGAGACTGTAAAAAAGGAAAAGAAGAACTCTCTCTCTCCCTTCCTCTCCTCTATCTCATTTAGCCTTTGAAATGGATTCATTACTGGTGGTGCGGACGGTGATCTCTGGAATTGGATAAAGAGAGCCAAAACTTCAGACAAATTACAATTCCCCCAACCTAGATGGGGAGGGACACTACACATAGAAAATAGCCTTCCATGTATCCCACTCCATATCAACTTAGACATAATAATGGAGGCTTACAAGCACCCATCTAAATAGGAATTCTCACATGAAAAAACGAACATGCACCAACAATCATCAGATTTTGAGAAAAGAGGAAGAAGACTATACAGAATCTCCAAACTTATATCACCAAATACCTGACAGTTGAAGAGAAGAAAAAAATAGGTTAAATGAGTGACTATAATATACTGTCCTCAGAGGACTGGAAAGGAAAAACTATGAGACAATAATAACAAGATAGGATGAAAAAATTCTAGATCATGGACGTTAAAGTATAGTTAGCAAGATGTTCACTTTAAGGAAGCAGGGAATTCACTTTCCAAAAACCAAATGGAAAACAAGAACAAAAAAACTGAAGTAAAAAGATCCTGTTTGCTAAAGAGAAAACATCTACAAGCCTGAATCTCAAATAGGTGTGAAATTGGGAAGGGCAAATAACTAATCAAAGGAGGGCTCACATTCTGAATTTTTAAACATCTTAGGTAGAAACATAAAAGCTTCTCCTTCAAGTTAATTTAGTAGTTAGAAACAACCAATTACCCTTTCTTCAAGATAACAAGTTAGGGAGCCTTTCTGAATCCTGCTGTTGCTTCATGGAGACATGAAAGGAGGCAGTAGACATGCCATCTGTACATGTAATTCAGTGTGTATCATACTTACGATGTCAGTTAGGCTGCTGTTACAGAGAGATCTAAAACAGAATGGCTGAGTCAAGACAGAAGTTGATTTCTCTCTCATTAAAGAACTTAGGGTTGTCAGGTAGACAGAGGCAGCTCTACAGAACCAGACAGTGTAGTGACCTAGGTTCTTTCTCTCTTATCCCACCATGCCCATCATTTTCAAAATCAAAGGCAAGTATGCACTGTTTCTCATAAATGTTTTCTATAAATGCATGTTTTTCTTCTCTCTTATCTTATTTTCCCCAGTACATGTGATATTTAGCATAAAAATAGTTTATTTCTGGATTTAATTTGTTTTTCTGTTCACCTGTGTTATTGATGATCAATAGGCTGGTGCGGGGATCCTGAGGAAGTTGTCCAGGAGACAAGAAATACAATCTGCCTTAAATTCCCAATCGGAATTTTGATGTAACATAGTATATATTATATGTTCCAAAGTCAAAGGGAATAATGCAATTCCAAATATCAACAGCCTAAATAGTAGAGAAAATTTTACCACATAAATCTTATAGCAACTTTATTTCTTTAGTAAGAAATTCCACAACTATTTGTTGAGTGTCAATCTATTCTATACAAAGTATGATTCTAGGCTAAGATTCTGAAAATTATATATCAGCATGCTACACAGGATGAAAATGAATTGCTATACAACATCAGATTTTCAAACTATGAAAACTAAGCTTAATCAAGAGCTAACACGCAGGTATTCCTACTATCAGTAAAGTCAAATGCTACACTTACATGTCCTCTGGCAGGAATGCTGGATGTGTTCTACTTTTACCTTCTCTTTCTATTTGGGCCTCCTTTTAAAACTCATTATCTAACAAAATCCAATGATCTCATACTTACAGAGTCAGAAGTACTTTTCTCCCTCGTTTTAACTTTAGGAAACGGAGCCGTGCTATTGCACAGACCTGCATTATCCAGGAGGCCCATGTCACTCACAGCCTTTTGCAGTTCAGGAAAGGAAGGGTAAGCTGACTCCGTTCCATTTGCTTTCTGAGTTTTCTCTCATTCTGATTGTTCAAAGTCTACACATGCATGCAAACACAATTATTAATACCATTCTGGGGGAGCACAGTTTTATTCTTCTTAAAAATATTTTTTAAAATTTTACATTTGATTTATTTTATAACTAGGTTCAAAGGAATTATTTAAATAACATTTTTCAATATTTATTAAGTTTATGCATTATTGCTGCTTCAATATTTTCTTCCATAGAACTTTTTTATTGTTGATGGTGATTGTATATTAGTATAAAAATGTTTGGCATGTTTGGTTACAATGCAAACAATATAAGGAACATATAATAATGTCCAACTTTTATAAACAGTGAGATAATATACTAAATTCATACCAAAGATAGAATTCAGAAAAAGGGTGATTTAGTTATGGCACAGTCTTTTTGTTAGTAACAGTCTCAAATGGTACATATCGTGGTGTGTGTGTCTCCTCTCTCAAAACAGTTGGTTTAAGTTCGTGGTGTGGTAGCCAATCGTGTTTCCGGGGTGAGAGGTCTACCGGAGTTGGTGTGTGTGGTGAGAAAAAAGTGTAGCCGTGGTGTGTAGGGGAGATTGTCCTCCGGGTGTGTGAAAATGCAGGTGGTATACAGGAGTGGGCGCGGCTGTGTGGAGTGTGTACCTCAGCCCTCATCTCCGGGGGATTAAGAACTTTTCACAGCTGTGCTTCTCGGGTGGGCGCGAGAGTGGTCTCTCCCCTCCCTCCCTGAGTGTGGGGGGCATCGGGTGGCGGAAGGTGAGGGTGATAGAAAGTATAACTAGGTGGGCGTGGGAATAGGAAGTTAGATACTTTCGCAAGGAGGATTTTAGTAGTTTCCAAGAAGGAGTGGTGTGTGTGGTAGTCCCTACTGGATAATGTTTAGAAATAGTAAACAGGTGCCAGGTGAGTGCGTGTGCAGGGGAACAGGGACCTCAAAGATAAGAATGAGTCATGGCGATTCCTTAGACCTCTGTGGTGCTGGTGAGATAGTGAGGTAAAGTGTGTAAGATACTATTTGTATGTATCATTTAAATTTATTTATATAGGTTATACAGATTGTATAACTGGCTTGTTGATAGGTGGTGGGGGTTCTCTGTTCCAAGGTCATAGGTGGATGGGGTGCAGTCAGGTTTGGACATGGAGATTTGCGGATGTAACTGATTCATTACCGGTGCAGAAGTGTAGTGGTGGGGTAGTGCTGGCAGTTGTGTCTCTCGACGAAGTGAGTCTAAGATACAGAAAGGAGGATATCAGTTGAAAACAACATCATTAACTAATCCTAGTAATAAAAACTTATCTAAAAGGTACATAATACTGTTTAGGAAACATGTCTTTGGAATATCACAGTAATTAAAATAAAATTTTCATTAGCATGTTTTCATTCTAAAATGACTATGTCACACTTCTTTAAACTGTCATACTTCATCTTTTATTTTTATCTCACAAATTCCCTACAGGCCTCCCTGAGGAAATCTGAGCAATCAGAAACACCATCATCCCCTCATCTCCACTCTTACAATCGATGTATGCTGACTTCTGTCCATATTCTTCCTTCTGTGTGGATGGAACACTTGCAGCTGTTCTATAAGCCTACCCCTTTCACTTATGTTCTGAATTTCACCCCCTGTCAGCATTTCAAATACTTCCCAAAGTGGTCTTCTCTGTCTCCTCCATCATCAATTTCTTCTACAAATACTGGGTCATCCCAAACAACAGACAAAAATATTATAATACCCATTAAGCAAAGACAAATAGTAACAATAAAACATAATCGCATCCTCCCATCTCCCTCCACATACATGCATGACTCCAAAGATTTGCTGCCTTTAATTTGTCACATTTTACTCCTCATAACCCCCACAAGTTCAAATGCTATTTATATCCTTCACAGAAATCGTATTTTTCCCCAGGTCACCAATAACTTCGTATTTTTCAAATTCAATGAGCAAGTCTTTGTTTTAACTCGGTGACATGAAAGTTCATTTGGCCTGTGCTGTATCTCAGTGGTGAACACTTCCCTAGCATGTCCACAGCCCTGGGTTTGAGCCTCATCATCACAAAGAAAAAAAGAGTTCACGAGTCTCACTTTCTAGAAACATTTTCTCCCTTGATTATGAACACATTGTCTTATTCTTCCCTCTAATGCATTCAGAAATTTATTCCCTTCTGTCTTCCCTCTGCTTTCCTCCAAAGTTTCAGCCCTAGACCTTCTCCTTCCATAAACAAATACAGCCCCTAATCCATCTATATGCTGAAGTTTCCCAAATTCAAATCTCATTCTTCTTTGATTTCTACGTTCTATATCCAACTATACACTTGACCATTTACCATTTCCACTGGAAATTCAAAAGCATCTCCCAGATTAACATTCTCAAAATAGAGCATTGATTCCTCCTTCCCCATCTGTCCCAACTCTTCTACCCATTCTTCATAAGTACTACTGTTTTTCACCCAGTGCTCTAATCCAGACCATTAGAGCTCCCTCTTGACCCCTTTCACATTCCACATGTTTCCATCAGCCAGACCTTTCAGCTTTATTTCCAAATACACTTCAAAGACACTCAGTTCCATCTATCTTTACTGGGCATGGTAGCCCAGTCATCATCTCATCTTTACTTGAGCCTCTGAAATGGCCCACAGCGAGGATCCCAGTGTCTATTCTTGTTCTCCTATACCCAGAGTGAGTGTCTTTATCCAAAGAATGAAAATACAAATCTCATCAAATCAACTTCCTGTTCAATGTCTTTCAGTGCCTTCTCAATGCATTTAGGAGAGATCAGAGTCAATACCCAAAGCTTCTAAGGCTCCATAAGAGTCATTCTCCATCTACCAATATAACCTTACCTACCCCTATTCACCATTCTGTGCTCTCACAACTACCCTCCATGCATGCCTTTTCTCCTCTACTTGAGGATGTTTGACCATTTTCTTCTTGTGGCCTTCTAGGACTGCTCTATCTAAACCCTAGCCTTACAACAGTCTTTACCTCATGTGGCTTTGTTTATATTTTTTGTCAAACAATATAGTAAATTGTATTTGTTTCACTTTTCCTCACCTAGTTGAACATATGTTCCATAAGAGTGGTTTGAACTCAGGGCCTTGCACTTGCTAGGCAATCCCTATAACACTTGAGCCATGTGTCTAGCTCTTTTTGCTTTAGTTATTTTCACATAGGCCTAGACTGGCCTTGGATTGAGATCCTCCCACCTCCCTCCTGTGTAGCTGTGATTACTGGCTTACACTAACACAACCAGCTTATTATTTGAGACAAGGTCTGAGTAAGTTTTTGCCCAGGCTTGCCTTGAACCACCTGACAATTAGCTGGAATTATAGACAAGAGCCACTGCACCCATTCTTCATATGCTTAATTTAATGCTATTTTTCTAGTACTTGAAGCAATGTCTTTAATATAATGGATTTTCAATAAACATTTATTAGTTATCTTTTTTCCTGGATGAGGATGTAAGCCTCTGGTGAAAACTTTCAAATGCCACTTTTAATACAGGAGAAGGGTGATGGGCCAGCATCATTACTGAGCAGAACTAATGAGGTTGTAGCAAGCACTGTGTTTTGCTATGACATGCATACAGCATTCAAGAAACCTGGAATCTCATGTCCGGGAATGGACCTAGGCATGCCATTAAGACTAGCAGAACCCTGGAGTCTGTGTAAAGAGCCTTCTATGAACTGGGACATAAATACCAGAGACTCTGACTAAGCAGTATACCTTACTGGCAGTACCAGTATATAACCACCTATCATCCTTGTCTGATCAGTAAAAGAAGCTGGGGCAGTTGTACATCATTGGGTGGGGCCTTAGTCCAAGAACAGAAAAACATAGTCAACTGATGCCATCTTCCAGGCTGGTACAAGGATAGAAGCTGCCATACTTGGGAATGGGGCTAAAATCTGAATTCCTGAGTTTTTTGCTGAATGAGACTAAATCATCCAAAAGAGTTATTTAAACTGAGAGTATAGATTAGTTAAACATTTAGTAAGTTAAATGTTTAAATAAAAGGAAACTACTTAAAACAGGAGATACTGGAATATATTTCCTCATTTGTAAGAAAAAGAAAATTATAACATCCATCTAATAGACAGTTTCTGAGTATTAAATGAGTTGATATATATATGTCAGAATAGTGCCTGACACATAATTTGCATTATACAAAGAGTTAGTGATTTTGGGTTACTTATTAAACAACTCCTATGTTGGTATTGCTACT